CTGAAATCCAGGGCTTACAGGCCCCATGTCGGTTCAGCCCGAAAGCCTGAATTCCAGGGCCTATCCCTGTGTCATTTCAGACTAAAAATGGCAACAGCCTTTTTAGCCTGAAACGAAGGGCCATTTTCGGTCGTTCATCAGAACGACCGGCCCTGAAACTCAGGCACCGAACCAGGGTTTCGGGAACAGACTATTATTAGTCTGTTTCCCACGCCAGCCTCAAAAGGCTGCTGCACGCCAGCCCCTGGCACACTTCGGCATTGGCAAGAGCTGCCTCCTTGGCCTGACTCGCCCTCCAGTAGTCAGGAGGCAGGCCGAGGTAGTACATAGGACTTCCTAGGCACTTCCGATCGAGGCAGTCGGCAGTTGTAGTCTTCAGGATTCGGGAGCAGCACTCTGGAGGGAGCGCTGCAGTGTAGTAGTAGTAGYGTTAGCTTGTAGTCTTCAGCGCTGGGCGCAGTAGGTAGTTGTAGTCTCCGGCGCTGGGCGCCATAGCTAGGTAGTGCTAGAGAGAGAGAGAGAGCTTGGGCGGAGGCCAGAGGTACCTACCTGCAGCGCCGTTGCTCCAGCTTCGTCTTCGAGGTACCTGCAGCACAGCGCCAACATCACAGGTTAGTATCTGGTTCATAACAGTGAGAGAGAGAGAGTTCTTCTTCTTCCTCTTCTCAGTCCACCATCTTCTTCTCTCCCTCTCAACTTCTGACTTCCCTGCATCTGCAGACTACGAGAGAAGAGGGACAAAGCTTGGTGACATTCGGATCCAGACTCGACTTTGGGACTTCAGACATGGCAACGAGGGATGATTTGGGATTGGTGACAAAGGCTTGGTGTTGACGACATTCCCATCTCTTTCCCTCCTTTCGTCTGATCCCTTCCTCTTCGTCTGTGTATGTCTGGACCTGGCGCTTTCTTCCTGGGTACAGCGCCAGACTCCTTCACACCTGGTGATGGGTACGATGCATGTTTGGTCTGAGTTCAAACATCGATTGGACTAGTTATTAGTATCCTAGCATTCTGCTTCGCTACTTTGTACCTACGTGAGTGAGGTCAGTCCCTGTCAGGTCAGTCTTTGTATCTAAGTCTTCCCTGCGCTTTTCAGCACCTTTTGTATGTATGAGAACGCACATTGTCTGTCGAGATTCTACTCGCACTACATTGTCCATTCAGTCCTTTTCATCACATTGGAGTTCCTCGGTTATTACGAACATCACATATCTGTGCATGTAACAGTTGGTATCGGAGCTTTGCACGTGAATCAGGACAACCTGATCTAACACGTGCGTGGGGACTAATTAGCTAGTTAGTCTTTATTGATTGATTAGAACACAATAGTTAGAACCCAAAATCACGATTTTGACCTTACTACCGAAAATCGATTTTTTTTTCCTTTTCTTGGATTTTATTTTCTCGCTATTCTGCTGTGGAAAATCGCAATATCGCAACATCTGAAATTCCCATTTTTTCTTTTTCTGAAAATTCAAAATTTCGCTGTTGAAAATCCGGAATAATTTTCTTTTCGAAAATTTCGATTTCCTGTTGCATTTCCCGTTACTTAGAAATTCGGAATATTTTCTTTTCTGAAATTCGTTTTTCTGAAAACGGTACGGGAAATACCTCCTGCGGTATTATTCTTCAAACTGCGAATATTCTCATCGGAATAAATCCGAATACTTGTCATTTCTGTTCGGATTTTTTTTCGCAGTTCTGGGATTCTGTAGTTCAGTCTATAAATCATTGGCAGTCTAAAGTCGAAATTTTTTTCTCTTTCAGTGATCATTTCGCACTTCACGGGAGGTTGGGGGACCTAACGAACTTGCAAAAATCGGGATTTTTATGTTTCTCGAAATTTTTTTTTGCAAAGTTTGAACTTTTCTGTTTTGATTAGTGGCTCCTTATCTAAGTGTGAGTTGGGCGATTATCCCACCCACCCCTCCCCACCTATGTTGTTGCCATCTCTCGCCTTTCTGTTTCTGTTTGTATCCGGGTACCCCCTGCGGTGGCATTGGTAAGTTGCCACGTCAGCAGGCCACGTCAGCAGACCACGTCAGGCGGAGATCCTTGGTCTCGACAGCTCGCTGGCTCACGTCCAAGACCGCCTTCAGCGGTTGGAGCAGCGACCAGTCGCCGCCGCTGACGCAAGCTCTTCCAATACTGCCGACCGTCTCAATGCATTGGAGATGCACGTCGGTTCCCTCCAGGACGGCGCACAGTTACAGCACACCGCGACGCAACAGTTGCAGCAGCCGGTCTGTACCACCGCCAATACCTCGAGTACGGAGCCGCGCGAGACAACTCCAAAGTTTGACGGGCAGGAGATCTTCTGCGACTCAATGAAGACAGATCCGATTCCATGGTTCCGCAAGTTCGAGCTCACGCTGCAGCTGTCCAACGTCAAAGAACACAAGCACCACGCATACTTGTCGTCTCGTTCAGGGGGCGCATGCGAGGCTTGGTTGGACAACCTCTTGTCCAAATACGGAGTGGTAGCGGCCGACTTGCACACCAAGATCAGTTGGGATGATCTGAAGGCGGCGTGGCACAAGCGGTTCCAGGTAGAGCCGCCAGAGATCAAAGCCATGGACAAGCTCATGGTCTTCGAACAAGGCACGCTGCCGAGTACGGACTGGATCGCCGACTACCAACGCTTTACGTCAGTCCCAGACAYCCAGATGGGCTTCAAGGCCATCCGCCATTACTTCATCTCAAGGTCATGTCCGGCATTAAGCAATGCCCTGACTCATGTCGAGGACACCTTGACGACGACGGCGGAGTTGTTCGACAAGGCTGAGTAGATAATAATCACGAACAAGGAGGCCAAGAACCTCCGTTCATCTGCGTCAGGCCCGAGCAGGGACCATCATCGGCCAAGAGTGGCCGTGGTCGCAGCGGCAACGCCATTGGACCAAATCAGCGAGGCTGTGTTTGCCAGTGAAGGGGACAGATTCGCAGTCGCCCAGGAAGGTGGCCGCCCCGGCAGAGGCCGAGGACGCGGCAAGACCAAGACACACACCGCATCTAGCCCCGGGCCCGGTGCAGCAGCTCAGACAGGCCCATGGACCCAATTTGGCATCTCCGAGTCCACATTCAAGGCGCGCTAGAGATTCCACTATTGCCTTTGGTGCAACAGCGATCTTCATCAGACCCAAGGTTGCCCATTGAAAGGCAAGGGCAAACAGGGAAACTGAGCACCGCCGAGAGTGACTCGACGACACTCTCAACGCCTCCGAAACCGGTTTCTTCGCGAGTAACCGGCCTTCATTCCGAGGCGCACGCGGAAGTCGATAGTCCTCCTCTTCTACTTTCTTTCGAGGACTATGCTGCCCGACTCATTCCTATGCTGGGTACTCAAGCTCAAGGACAAGGAGTGTGTGCGGTTTCTTCTCTGTCCGGCAACGGCGACATATTGTCTTCAAGTGGTTCATCACGGGATTCGGCGCGCGAGTTCAACATAGAGGCATTGGACCCGCTCACGTCAGAGGACTTTGCATGGCTTCTCTCCCGACCACAGGCCGCTTACCGGGACCGCAATGCGCAGCACTTAGTGCCAATCTTCACACTTACGTATCCTTCTATGCACCACCAACTTCGCCGACGGATGACGAAGTCGCGGTGGGGGACATCCTGGCCTATACTACCAAGGTGGCCCGCATTCAGGTTGGGCAAGCGTCCTGCAGCGCTTCGCTGGATAGCGGCACGTCTCGCAACTTCATGAGCCAATCCTTCATGCAAAGGGCTGGCCTTGGCGCACAATTTTGGAGGAAGGCAAACCCGATGGCGATCAAGTTGGCGGATGGAAAGACGCAACAACTTCTCGACCGTTACATCGAGGCCGTACCGGTCTACTTCGCACCTCATGCATGCGAACCGGTGACATTCGATATTCTCGACACGGACTTCGACATCATTCAGGGAATGCCTTGGCTTGCAAGTGCGGATCACACGGTCAACTTCCATCGGCGGACTCTTAGCGTTCGCGACGCCTTCGGCGCGRAAGTGGCGTGTACTATTCCTCTACCGCACTCTTCGATCCGGTGCCAAGTGGTGACGGCCAAATCATTCCGGGCGACTTGCGCTTACGAGCAGCCCGAGGAGACCGGCCTATGTTTCCTACGGACCGTCGCGGTAGCCGACTCTTCACCCACGGACTTGTCTTCGGACCCCCGTGTGGTGCGGTTGCTGGACGAGTTCGCCGACATCTTCGAGTCACCTACCGGTGTGGTGCCCGATCGGCCGATCTCTCACGAAATCATTCTTGAGGCCGGTGCCGTGCCGCCGAAAGGTTGCATCTATCGGATGAGCGAGGAGGAGCTTGAGGTCCTCCGCGCACAACTCGACGATTTGTTGGCCAAGGGCTGGATCCGCCCGAGCAACTCCCCATATGGAGCACCAGTTCTCTTCGTCAGGAAGAAGAACAAATCTACGATTGTGTATCGACTACCGCAAGCTCAACGCGCAAACCGTCAAGAATGCGGGGCCTCTTCCTCGCATCGACGATCTTCTTGAGCGACTGGGCGGCGCAAAGTATTTTTCAAAGTTGGATTTGAAATCGGGATATCATCAAATCTCGATCCAGCCGAACGATCGCTACAAAACCGCATTCAAGACGCGGTACGGGCATTTTGAGTGGGTGGTCATACCTTTTGGCCTCACCAACGGCCCGACGACCTTTCAGGCGGCGATGACCAATGAGTTTCGTGCAATGTTGGACCGGTTCGTGCTGGTTTACTTAGACGATATTCTCGTCTATAGACGGTCATTGGAGGATCATCTTGGGCATCTTCGACGAGTGTTGGAGACGCTCCGCCGCGCCAAGTACAAGACCAACCGCGACAAGTGTGAATTTGTCCGGCAAGAGCTGGAATACTTGGGCCATTTTGTCACACCGGAGGGCATCAGTCCGCTATCGAACAAGATTCAGGCCGTCCAGGAGTGGCCGGAGCCTCGGAACGTCACGGATGTCCGCTCGTTCCTCGGTCTTACCGGCTACCATCAGCACTTCATCGAAGGCTACTCGAAGATCGCGTCCCACTTGAACAAGCTTCAGTGCGAGGATCGACCGTTTGACTTCGGAGAGGAGGCGCGGGGATCATTCTTCGCTCTCAAAGTCGCGCTATTGTCTGCGGAGGTCTTGCGGATATACAACCCGCTCGCGCCTACACGCGTCACTACGGATGCGTCAAGCTACGGCATTGGTGCAGTCCTCGCTCTACTCCCGATGGGTTGGCATGGTGACCGTGACCCAGTGCTTCGTCCAGGGCCCTTCAGATAGCACCGCCCTCTCCTTCCAGATGCTCTACGTCAAGATTGACGACTCTCAAGGTTGAGCGCACACGACTCCTCACATGAGAGGACTTTCAAGACAGAACACACATCCTCACAGTAGTCGAAGAGGGTAGATAAGGTTAGGTGCAACGTACCTCAAAATAGCTGCCCCCAACCACGAATATTCTCACCAGATGACCCGATGTTGATTGTGATGACCAATCGCTGCTTCGGCACAACCAACATTGCACAACTGTTCCACTTCAACATCAATCACACACCGGATAGTTCTCATCACACTGCGAACACCCAATAATCACCGCATTAGCCTTCGTGGTGAACCCCTCTCCACCTGGGTCGCCTACTTACCTTTGCCCTCCTCAGTACACACATCCCACGGTACAGTCGCTCACTGTACACACCGCGTGCATGTACCCGCATGAGGCAGAAGATAAGCGCCACATTAGCGCACCGAACCACAGCTCCGATACCAAATTGCAAGGAAGATGAGCAATAGCGAACTTCAGAAATCAAACAGCATCATACGCATGAGACCAGATAGTCGTGACCTCGAACCAATAGCAGAATTGCATCACAAGTTTCACCAAATAAGAGCACACCAAAAGCTCATAATTGACAATGCTGGAATAGTCTCATCATCATCAACGAAGAACCAATGTTGATATCCTATTTGGCGCTCGACGCCCAGACTACAGATGGCAGATCCTATCTAGCCTACTCTACAATACCGTTGATGACGTCAACAGCTCCCAGAAGTACGAGCAGATCTCGGACAATGCGGTACACTTCAAGCACCATATATGCCTCTCGTATCACTCACAACCTCGTTCCCCAACTCACAGATGCCACATGCACCCAAGGACCACCATGCGCCCCATCCATCATACAGCAGCGCAGCCCGGCTATGGCTGCCTGCTCCTTCCAGCTCGCCCGTGAGCGCGTGAGCCTGGCAGGCTATAGCGCAACAGCGCTTGCGCACAAAGCAGCCAGTGCCTGGACGTCCAATGCATCGGCTGGCCCTTTCCTAAATGGAAGTGGCCAGCCTGCTTGAGTGCAGCCTGGCTGCGCTGGGTCCCTGCCCAAAAGCTTCTGGTAGGCCCAGGGAGGTTGAGCCTCAGACCAAACGAATCAGGCCCACGGCCACCGGCAATTACCCGTGTCCAACTGACCGTTGTCTGAATTGGGCCTATGTTGCATATCTCGCCCAGGGCCTGATTTAGATACGGTCGATAAAGGACGCCAGGGCCTGGGCGCCTTCAACCAACTGGCGCTGCGCAACTGCCTGAATTTTCCCCAGTTGCGAAGCAGTCATAAATGGGCCTCTTGTCGTCTATCGGGCCCGCCTTCACTTAGGGCGGCCGACCCGTTGCAAATAGGGGCCCAGTAGGGCTTATCGAGGCCTATGTCTCGCACGAGCATACCAATTAGCCCCCAAAATCACGATTTTGACCTCACTGCCAAAAATCAAAAATTTTTTCTATTCTTGGATTTCGTTTTCCCGCTATTTCTGTTGTAAAAAAAAAAAAAATCGCAATAGCGCAACATTTTAAATTTCCGTTTCCGTTTTTCTTCTAAAAATTCAAAATTTCGTTGTTGGAAATTCGAAATATCTTTCTTTTCGAAAATTTCGATTTCCTTTTGCAATTTCCCGTTATTTGGAAATCCAAAACATTTTTTTCGAAATTCGTTTTTTCGAAAATGGTACGGGAAATCCCTCTTGCAGTTATCATTTTCCAAACTGCGCGTACTCTCATCTGAGTAATTCCAAATATTTTTTTTGTATTTTCGGCATTCTTTTATCGGATAATCATTTGCAGTCTGAAAGTTCGAAAAAAAAATTCCTCATTGGTAATTTCGCACTTCAGGGGGAATTGAGAGGCCTACTGAACTTGCAAACGAGTATTTTTTATTTTTTTTCTCTCCAATTTTTTTTGCAAAGTTCAAAACTTTTCTTTTTGATTAGTGGCTCCTTATCTGGGCGATCAACCCACCCCTCCCCACCTACGTTGTTGCCCCCTCTGGTCTTCTCTATCTCCGGGTACCCCCTGCGGCGGCATTGGTGATTTGCCACGTCAGCAAGCCACGTCAGCAGGCCTCGTCAGCAGGACACGTCAACAGGACACGCCAACAGGACACATCAACAGGATACGTCAGCAGACACGTCATCTTGCCAAGTCAGCAGTCCTCTGGCCTGGTCTATGCTCACGCGCTTACAAACAGTCGGCATAAATCAAAAGTCCGGGGGAACGGCCGAGGCCTATCAGGCCCGGATGCTGGCTTTGATTACCGAAGCCAGGAAACGGGCCGATGAGGTAGCAGCCGCGGAGAAGAAGAAGGCAGAGGACACTGAGAAGGCACGCCTGTTGGCAATCGAACAGCAGAGCCAGCAAGACGAGGCAGCAGCAAAGGCTGCCAACGAAGAACGAAGTCAACGACGCGAGAAGATATTCAACGGAGAGCGAGCCTTGCTCACAATGGCAGCGGACTGGCGCGCCGAGGCCGAGAATGGTAAGATGGAAGAGAGTGAAAGCAAGATCGCTCTACTCCTCTCCCATTTCACGGTCTCCTCGCAACGTGCATTGCACAGCAGGAGGACATCCACAGCCTCGACAATGCGGTTCAGATGCACAACCAGGCGTTTGATCAAGTCAACACCCGCCTCCAGCAGCTGGAGCAACGTCCCGTCACCGTCCCCAGTGCCAGCTCCTCCAACACCTCTGATTGCAGCTACACCATGTCAGCGAGGACGAGCATCACCCGTACTTGTACTCCCGGTCCAGGGGCGTGCCAAGCATGGTTTGGACGATCTCTTGTCCAAGTACGGGGTGGTAGCTGCCGACTTGTACACCAAGATCAGCTGGGATGATCTAAAGGCGGCGTGGCATAAGCGGTTCCAAGCCGAGCCGCCGGAGATCAAGGCAATGGGCAAATTGCTGACCTTCGAACAAGGCATGCTACCGAGTGTTGACTGGATTGCCGAGTACCAACGCTTGGCATCCGTCCCAGACATTCAAATGGGCTTCAAGGCCGTCAAACACTACTTCATCACAAGGTCGTGTCCGGCATTGGGCAACGCCTTGACTCACGTCGAGGACACCCTGACGACAGCGACATAGCTTTTTGACAAGGCTTCGCAGATCATTGTCATGAACAAGGAGGCCAAGAACCTCAACCGTTCGTCTGAGACAGGCCCGAGCAGAGATCACCATCGGCCGAAAGTGGCCATGGTCGAGGTGGCAATGCCAACCGACCCTTCTAGCGAGGTCGTGTCTGCCAATGTAGGGGACAGACTCGCAGCCGCTCGGGATGGTGGCCGCCCTGGCAAAGGCCGAGGACGCGGCAAGAGGACGACAAACACCGCCTCTATCCCCGAGCCTGGCGCAGCAGCTCCAGCCCCATGGTCCCACTACGGTCTCTCCGAACGTGCGTACAAGCTACGCACGAGATTTTGCTATTGCCTGTGGTGTAACAATGATCTCCACAAAAAAGTGGGTTGCTCGTCGAAAGGCAAGGGCAAGTCGGGAAACTGAGCACCGCCGGCAGTGAATCGACGACACTCTTGACGCCGTCGGAACCGGTCACTTCGCGGGTGAGCGCCCTTCGTTCTGAGGCACACGGAAGTCGATAGTCCTCCTCTTCTATATTATTATGAGGACTATGCTGCCCGGCTCGTTCCGACGCTGGGTACTCTTGCTCAAGGACAAGACGTGTGCGGCATCTTCTCCATCCAGCAGCAACGACTTATCGTCTTCAAGTGGTTCTTCACAGGATTCGGCGCGTAAGTTCAACATAGAGGTCTTGGACCCGCTCACGTCGGAGGATTTCGCATGGCTTCCTCTCCCAACCACGGGCCGCTTGCCGGGACCGCAATGCGCAGCACTATGCGCTTATCTCCACACGTATCTATCCTTCTATGCACCACCAACTTCGCCGACGGATGAAGCTGCGGTGGGGGACATCCTTGCGTATGTTACCAAGGTGGTCTGCGAGTTTCGCAAGCAGCGGTACGATGACAACAACGCACCGCTCTTCTATGTCCACATCGAAGTTGGGCAAGCGTCTTGCAGCGCTTTGCTGGATAGCGGAGCGACTCACAATTCCATGAGCCACGCCTTTATGCAAAGGGCTGGCCTTGGCACACAAGTTCGGAGGAAGGCGAACCCGACGGCGATGAAGTTGGCGGACGGAAGGACGCAACAACTTATCGACCGTTACATCGAGGCCGTACCGATGTATTTCACACCTCATGCATGCGAACCGGTGACGTTCGACACTTTGGACACGAACTTCGATATCATTTTGGGAATGCCTTGGCTTGCAAGTGCAGATCACACGGTCAACTTCCACCGGCAGACTTTTACCGTTCGGAACGCCTTGGGCGTCGAAGTGCCGTGTACTATTCCTCTTCCGCACCCTTCGATTCGGTGCCAAGTGGTGACGGCCAAGTCGTTCCGAGCTACTTGCGCTTACGAGCAGCCCGACGAGATAGGCCTATGCTTCCTACGGACCGTCGCAGTAGCCGACTCTTCCCCCACGGACTTGCCTTCGAACCCCTGTGTGGTGCAGTTGCTTGACGAGTTCATCGACATCTTCGAGTCACCTACCGGTGTGGTGCTGAATTCGCCGATCTCTCACGAGATCATTCTTGAGGCCGGTGTCGTGCCGCCGAGAAGCTGCATTTACCGCATGAGCGATCATGCCAAGGCACCGGAGTTGGTCGAGGTTCCTTACGCCGGTTGGATTCGAACCAAGGGTTACCCCAAGGAAATCGTTTGCGACTGCGACACTCGGTTCATGTCCGATTTTTGGTTGGCACTCATCAAACGATGGGGCTCATCTCTCAAGCCGAGTTCGGCTCGCCACCCCCAAACCGATGGCCAAACGGAGAGGGCGCATCAGACCACACAGGTTCTCCTCCGCACTCTCATCCGTCCCAACCAAAAGAATTGGGTTGAGCGGCTGTCGGATGTCGAGTTAGCATACAACTCGTCCATCCACCCGGCTATCAGGATGTCGCCCTTCGAGTTCGAGCACGGCTCGCCGGTCACTTCTCCGTTGGACAATATCATTCCACGAGCGGCCGAGAGCGACGACCATCTTCTTTTCTTGCGTCGGATGCAAGAGCTACTTGTCAAGGCACACGACCAGATAGCTAAGACGCAGCAACGCATGAGCCAACAGGCCAATCGCCAGCGTCTTCCTTGTCCATCCCGCGCCGGGCGACCTCGTTTGGGTTTCCGTCGCGAAGTTTAGCCTCGAACAAGATATCTCTCGCAAGCTCCTCCGGAAATGGATGGGGCCTTGGCCGATCGTGGCACCCGCTGGGGATGCACCCGAAGGACCTTCCTTCATCATTCAGGTGTCCGCCCACTTGCCCGTCTACCCGGTCTCTCATTGCTCTAAGTTGGCTCTTTACACGCCAACCGAACATGACGATTTTCCCGGGCGACGATCGCAAGACCCACCCTCTATGGACGGTTTTCAAGAGCTCAATGACATCATCTCCCAGCGATGCTACGGCAACAGACCGACCGAATACTTGGTACACTTTGCGTACTGCACCCACAAAGCTGACCGTTGGTTGACCCGTGCGGAACTCCAAGCAACAGCTCCAGATGTTCTCGCACGCTACGAACGCAAGATGCAAGGCAAGCCGGTATCTTCGGCTCCACACCACACCTGCGTCCAGGTTCCACCTTCAGATCGCCAGCTTCACCCTCGACCCAGCTTGACTTCATGAGGGGGGGGTGTTACATGTTGCGCCTGCAAACGAGGGCCATTTTCAGGCCCTAGGTCGTTTCAGCCTGAAAGCCTGAAAACACGGGCCTACAGGCCATGTGCCGTTTCAACCTGAAAGCCTGAAAACAAGATCCTATAGGCCCTGTGTCGTTTCATCCTAAAACAGGGCCCTCCACACCCCGAATCTTTTCAGCCTGAAACGGAGGGCCATTTCCAGGCCCTCATAAGATCGACCTGCCCTGAAACTTATGCACCAGACCAGGGTTTTAGCACAGGCCATTTTGGGCCTGTTTTCAAGACAACCTTTGTTTGAACTTCAACCCAGGGTTTGGCACGTTTTGGCATTGGCAAGAGCAGCCTCCTGGACGGGCCAAAACTATATAAGACTGGCCCGCCCTACAGGCTGCAGGTAGTTCATAGGGACTTCCCAGACACTTCACGTGCAGTTCAGGAGGTAGGAGGTAGTCTTCAGGATTCGGCAGCAGCACTCTGGAAGAGCATTGCAGTAGTAGTAGCAGCGTTAGCAGTAGTCTTCAGCGTTGGGCGCTATTCAGAGCTAGAGTAGCACTGGTGAGAGATAGAGATTCGGCAGAGGCCAGGGAGACTTACCTGCGGCGCCATAGCTCCAGCTCGTCGTCGAGGTACCTGCAGCACAGCGCCATCTTCACAGGTTAGTACCTGGCACATGAGAGAGAGAGAGAGAGAGAGAGAGAGAGAGAGAGAGAGAGAGAGAGAGAGAGAGAGAGAGATTCTTCTTCTTCCTCTTCTCCGTCCGCCATCTCCCCCTCACCCTCTCGCTACCTGACTTCACTGGATCAGCAGACTTCAAGAGACAGGGATTGGTGACATTTGGATCCAGACTCGACATTGGGCTTCAGACATTTGACGAGGGATTATCTGGGGCTTGTACCGAAGACTTGGTGTTGACGACATTCCCATCTTCCCCCTCTTCTTCATCTGATCCCCTCCTCTTCGTTTGTGTACGGTCTGGACCTGGCAAATTCTTCCTTTGTGTAGCGCCAGACCCCTTCACACCTTGTGATGAGGATGATGTATGTTCGGTCTGCATTGCGACATTGATTGGGCTCGTTCCACTGCGCTGTCTTGTACTACGTGAGAGAGGTCAGTCCCGGTCAAGTCAGGGCTTATTTCTAAGTCTTCCACTGCGCTACAAGGTGCCATTTTGTATGTATCAGGATGTACATTGCTTGTTGAGATTCAACTAACACCGCATTGTCCATTCAGTCCTTTTTATCACATTGCAGATCCTTGGCTATACATACATTGCCCAACTGGGCATGTAACAAGAAGGTTGTCCACGTGATTGAACCCTACAATAATAAAAATAGGGATTAAAACACTTTCAAAGAACACATAAAAAAGTGGAAGATCTAGCATGCAAAACACAACAATCATGAAAGCTTCCAGAAGACATTTCGCGTAGCAAGGTACCTAGAGGGCGGATATACAGAATGTCTCCTGCCGAGTTAGATGAGCTCCTCCGCCAGCTCAAGGAGCTCACAGAGAAGGGCTGGATCTGGCCAAGTACGTCACCCTATTGTACGCCAATCTTATTTGTCCCAAAGAAAGGGGGGACCCTGAGGATGTGCATTGACTATTGGGGCCTCAATGCCATCACCGTTAAGAACATGAAGCCCCTACCCCGCATCGACGACCTCTTGGATAAAGTGCAGGGATGTCGTTACTTCACAAAGATAGATCTGAAGTCCGGATACCATCAGATTGCCATTAGACCTGAGAATCAACATAAAAACCGCTTTCCAGACCAAGTACGGTCTGTACGAGTTCGTAGTTATGCCCTTTGGTCTATGCAATGCTCCTGGGACGTTCCAGCACGCGATGAACCGGATCTTTCATGACTACTTAGACAAGTTTATCGTCGTGTACCTCGACGATATCCTTATTTTTAGTAGGACTGTAGAGGAGCACGCTGAGCGCGAGAAAACAATGCGAGGCTCCTAAGACAGCACCAGTACAAGGTCAACTTGAAAAGATGTGAGTTTGGTCGCACCAAGATCTTGCATCTGGGTTATGAGATTTATGCGCATTGATTGAGGCAGGATGATGCAAGAGTGGCAAGCATACGTGACTGGCCCAGACCTCAGTCCATGACTGAGGTGAGGTCATTCTTGGGGATGACATGCTACTACCGCCCGTTTATGAAGAACTGTAGTACTATAGCTTCTCCTCTAACTGACCTCACACGCCTTGACACCCCATAGGAGTGGACCGAAGAGTGCAAGGCAGCCTTCAAGAGACTGAAGTATGCCCTGTTGCACTACGAAGTCCTCAAACTTCCACATCCCAACGACCTTTGTAGTGACCACAGACGCCAACCAATATGGCATAGACATGCACTGAAGAGGTGGATTGAAGTCATAGATATGTATGGCTTCAAGCTCGACCCTCTGAATGGAGAGTACAACAAAGTGGCTGATGCATTATCGCGCAAGGCCGACTATCTGGGTGCGCTAGTGAGGTCTGCAAGGAGTTAGGAGTGGGAAAGAGAGACAACCATAACCATTGGCTGGGACCTTCTTGCCCCACCCTAGTGCTTGTGCTGCGTGCTTGGGAGCGCGCTGCGGCTGCGAAGCTGCGATAGACACGGCTGCAGCAACACTTTGGGTGGGGAGGTGCTGCCAATTCTTTGGCCCGGCTGCTGCAACACTTTCGGTGGGGGAATGCTGCCAAATTTTTGGATGGCGGTAACAACACTTTCGGTGGGAAGTGCTGCTTTTTTTTTACACGGCGATAACGATGTTTTGAAGGCATTGTGCTGCGGTACAGCCGTAGTGATAAGGTTGCGACATTCTCAGTGATAGTTAGAGAGGGAATGTTGCAAAAATTGCACCGCAGTGTTGGATTTTACGATAGTGTTTCTTGGCTACAGCGGTAACTTTTGGCGGCACGATAATTATTGGTGTGGCCATTTGGACACTGGCATTTGCGCCAAAGGACTACCGTTATATTTTTGGGACCGACGACACGAGTTTTTTCTGAGACCATTTGGTGGAAGTGCGGTAGCAATGTGGGACCATCAGGGCTCATTTTGGGACCCGGGGGGACTGATTTGAGATCTGGACCGCATGTTGGTGTGGCTATTGTAAGCAGACGTGGTGATTGGAGGCGACGTTGACTTGCATTTGGTTGGAGAGTGTCTTCGGAGGACGTAGTGCAGTGGGATGGTGTTGAAACAGTTTGAGAAATTGGGACCATGTGAAAATTCATTCGTGGGAACACCCTTCTGGAGGGCTATTTCGTTTGAGTTTTGTTGAGATCTACCTCTGCTCATTCGGGTACTTGGAGAAGAGGTTGACCGTCGTTCAGTGGAACAAGCGTAAGTTGTGGTGTTGTGGGATGCATATTCTCAACTTCAACGGAGGTTATCCTTTATTCTGATTGGAATATTACTCAGTTTTCTTGAGTGAGCCGGATTAAGCTTCGCTCGAGGTCAGTCAATTGATTGACTCAGATTTCCTTTCACATCTGTGTGAACCCACACTTGCTTGACCCTATTCGTTGAATGTTCATTGAAAAGGCAAAGGAAATGTGTGTTCGCATGTGAATGGAAAAGTCTGATGGAGTATGGGATTGTACTGGTTTTCTTTGAACTTGTTTGTTGTGCTTTACGGTCTGTGCAGGTAGGTAGAAGGATGCTTGCGGAAGAGATTCATTATGCCTGTTGGAGAAAAGGAAAAGGATCGTCTTCTTTTTGCTTCTCACCTGTTTGCATGTCAAAAAGGATTCGTTGTTTTCAAAACTTTGGTTCTATGTATACCGTGAAACGAATTGGATTGAAATGAAGCACATAAGATTAGATAGACTTAGCCTTTTCCGGAGAATTGACCATTCTATCCTGAATGGCCTCATCTACCTATACCTGTCTAAATAGTTTTCATTTCTATCTCCTTTGAATATCCTTGTCTAAGTTATTTTGAACTTCCAAAGACAAGGACAGTCAAAACTTACCTGCGGTGGACGCATTCTCTTTCTCTAGGAAGCATCCAAGGCGGGGGTTCGTATGCCTTTGGAGTCGGCCCTGCTATCGACTTGGAGTGGACCCCATTCTTCGGGGGTGCTACTTTGCCGACTGGGTGGTGACGGCCCAACCCCTGATATCCGAGTCTTCAGGCTCGAGGGAGGGGAAGGAGTACTGACAGACCACTTCCTAGAGGGTTGGGGGTGTGATAGCGTAGAGTTGACAAACCCTCGCCGAGTCAGGGGTGACGTGGGGGCTGGTTTAATGTCCTCCCGGGTGGTCACCTTAGGTGCCACCGTTAAAATAAAAAGTTTGTAACGTAAGAAGCTCCAGCCCGTAAGAAGAAGTGGGTGATAAAGATAATGGTTCCCTTTGAGCAGTGATGACTGCAGTTTTGTTTTGGGTAACCGAATGATGCAAATGAATACTTCATCATTCGAGGAAACGGAAAGAGTAATTATTGTCCAGGAGGAAAGCAACTAACAAAATTTTTATTTGCTAGATAATACTTGTCTCCAAGCAAACTGCATATGATATGGAGGTGTGGTCGAACAGAGAGTTCAAACTTCGGCCATGAGCCAGATCACTTGTTGATCTGCATGGTAGCAGTGGGATTCACTTGTAGAAGTCATTCCTAGCAGGGTTTAGTAGGTGTCGACGGACCCAACCGTAAGTCAAAAG